TTATCCTTCTCTCACCCACCCGTTGCCCAATTGGTGCTGACCTCCACACCGAACTGAATTCGAGGACATGAGTTGACAAAGTTATGTTGGGTGCTGACTACGGAAGACAAGGAAACTTTCACACACACACACACACACACACACAGCAGGGATGTGTGTGTGTACACACATCCCTGCTTTGACCCGAAGGCTGTGCTCGGCATAAGTGAATCACCGCCATCAAGGGGCCAGAAATTTGCTCGCATTTTTACCACAGAGACAACCGAGCACGAGAGCACAATGGAAACCTGATGGAGTGAATGATCCCGAGGATTTGCTGACCTCTGGCCTCCCGCGGTTACCGTGCCCTAATCCCACAGTTTTCAAACGGAGGCCGCACTGTGCATCTATCGGATATATTGGCATTGCCAGTTAAGTAGGTGACAGCTAGCGGACGGTGAGATGGGTGAATTGAATTGTGAATGGGCCGAAATGATTTACGATGTGTTTAGACTCAAACAGAGAGTGAGAATGAGACAGAGTGAGGTAAAGAAATGAATGGTATGCACGCGCTTGTGTGTGTCAACTGAGTATGGTGAAAACCCATCCGCCCAAGGTTTTCGCCCGATATGAAGAGATTAGCAAGATTGCAAATAAAACAACCGGAAGGATATAAGAAAAAGAAAGAAAAAATGTGAAGTTAAGATTATCCGGTCAGATATCCGACCGATGACAAATGATGATGTTACAGGTAGTAACACCATTGGATAGCAGAAGGGGTGAACTCATACTAAATCAGACCTACTGCTTACTCATAGGAACCGGCAAACTAACCTGGTGGCTGACCACATAAAGCCCCCTTAGAGTAGGCGTGTTATGGAGTCGGGCGACAGCGAAGCTACTTACCGCTAAAATACAGTGGTGACTACAGGATTCGAACACCGGACCCTAGAGCCCCAAGCACATCCGCAACAGCGATTTTAGCCGCCTAACTACTATCAACCTGAATATTTAAATTTACCTTCAAAGTAGATGAGTACACATCACTTTACATCAGGATGATTTTTCTGGGTCACAAACAACCAAAAGTTATCGGAATTCATGAAAGTGTTCCAATGGGCTGATCGATGCACGGATTCCATTATTGAGTCAATTTTGAGAACCGCTTTGCCGTCTTACTCGTTTTATCTGTGGAGAGTGCTGACCAGTAAATAATGTGGTTCAAACTCCACCAGTAGTTGATGGTAGATAGCTTTGCTGTAGTCAAGCATAGTACTATCTCGATCTTATAAAGACCAGAGATCACCAATTTCAATTTTCCTACTGTCAATGCTGAATTGCGGATCAAAATGACTGAGAGGTTTCATTCTTCGCTGCTTTTGTCCAAACACTGATGTGCAACGAAATTAACGGTTTTGGCGTTACTGATCTTCCTACGCCATCTTTCAGATTTCGCGTTCAAACACAATTCTTATTTC